CTCTCTCTCTCTCTCTCTCTCTCTCTCTCTCTCTCTCTCTCTCTCCCATATCCAATAATAATAGTAATACATTTTTTAAAGGTAATAAAAGTTCAAAGTCATCCTTAGCTGCATAGTATGTTAGAGGCTACCCTGGGCTACAAGAGACCTTATCTCAGGGAAGAACAACAGAACCAAAACCTGCAGAAGGCTGTGCTTACTCAGGGCCAGGACGTTTGTGAGCTTGACTTTAACTATATTAGCAATCATCTCCCCCCAGTTCATCCAGGCAGTGTAACTTATAAAACTATCCTACCATTTACAAAAGGACTATTTTAAAATAAGTAAACCAGCTCACATCTTTAACTTTTAAATTTTGCTTAATCTTTAAGCCTTATTGTAAATTATAACCTTTGAGCTGTATAACTTGGCCACAAAACTATATATATCACATATATATTGCCACTATAAACACCTGAGTGTTTCTCTCTGAATTGAGAAGCCTATGTTCGTGTCTAGGGCACGTACTGTTCTTTTCTGGTCTATCTGTGTGGCAGGAGGTGGGTAGGAGAGGAGGGTGAGAGAGAGAGACAAATCACCCCTATTTAAATCTGAAGTGTGTACTATCTCCTGTCTCTCAATAGACTTGCTAATTTGGCTTCTCTCTGACTTGTTCTGAAATTCTTTTTGCAATGTCATCAACATAGTGAAGGATCCAGCTTTACCTGTGTGGAGGTTGCAAGACCTCCTCAGACTTCTGGCATCAGTCCTGGGCTGTGTCTTCCCACCAACAGTGTAGTGAATTAGTACCCTGTGATGGCTCTTGCACAAAGGAGGTCCTCAGTCAGGCTCATAGGATTAAAAGAGAGAAGTTAAGGCACCAAGGGTCATTCACGGAGACATACAAGGTTAGAGCCAGGGAAGCTGCCATTTTCCCTATGAAGACTTACCACCATTGCTTCCGGGCAGATTTGACCATCTGGTGGCCATAGAGCGTGCCGGGAGGGCTGCTGATGGCAATTACTACAACGCAAGGAAGATGAACATCAAGCACTTAGTTGACCCCATTGATGACCTTTTCCTTGTCGCACAGAAGATTCCTGGAATCTCATCAACTGGTAAGTGGGGGCACTGAGAACTCAATCATCTTTTATTGACCACTGAGCATAGGCCAGGAAAGGGTTACGTGGTCGTGGTCACTGTTGCTTCTCACCCACCTCCAAAATGGGATTTGTTTATTTCAGCGGGTCTAGACATGAATGACACCATTATTAAGAAATGCAACATTCCCTTAGGAGAAAGGGAAATGACACACATAGAACATACCCCGATTTGCCCGACTCAGAAGTAATTAACTCATCATGAAATATTAATAATCATGAAATCGAGGCATGACGTATCATCGTGACCAGACAGGCTGGGTGTTGTCATGTGTCACCTGAAGAAACACTTCACTTTTTGAGTATATTGGGTGCAGGATAAGCGAATTGCTACTGTTAACAGTGTAGTGTGATAAGTAGATTTTGTACTGAACTTCATACTTTTTTCTAAGAACTTTCACAACCTCTCTATATTTTCTATCCTACTCAAAAACCTTATGAGGTAGAAAGGAAGTAGATGAGAAAATGAGGCCTGGGGAGGCTGAAGCTGGCTAGCTAATTAGCATTGCCAGCAGGATTGCTGCAAAGTGCAGCCACTCAGCGTACTGTTAAAGGATCACCTTGCTGTTATGACTGAGCCAGTTCCCCAAGGACACCAGCTCTTCCTCTGTCGGGAGAGCTGGGCAGGACTAGAATAATTAAAGCCTGTCTGTCCTTCTGTTATTCTCCAAACCTTGAGTGTTTCCCAGACCCATTAGTCCCCTCTGACTTTTGAGGTTTCGAGGAGTGAATGAAAACCTTCTGGGATGATTAGAAAGTTTCTGCAAATCCCCAGATTTTCCCAGAAGAGGCTGTGGGTGGGGCACACGCAGTGTGGTCGGCTTGGCCGGTTTCTCACTTCCTGTCACTCTGGGCTGGGCAGGTAAAGGACTCAATGCCTGCAGGGAGGCATCACCAGCACTGGAGAAGGAGAGTCTGAGTCCAGAGGAGCAATTAGCAGGCAGAGCCTGGGAAGCTTGGGAGCACATGTACTGCCTCTCCTTGGCACCTCACTACTCCTTACATGTCCAGGAGGTTGCATTATTTTTGTCATCCAAACAGGCTGTCACAAATTTAGAAACTGTTCAGAGAAAAACGGTCAGAGTAGAAACAGAAAAATAAAATCCTCAGGGTGTTAATAGAAGGTATTCAGTCACTCACAGTAGTCTGAGTCTTCTGGCTCAGTCTGATCACCAATGCTTGAGGTGGTCTGGGCTCACCGTCTCCATCAGCTCCTGGTGAATGCTAGCCTCTATCCAGCACAGCAGTTCTCAGCCTTCCTAACGCTTCAGCCCTTAGATACCTCATGCTGTGGTGACCACCCCCCCTACCGTAGAATTATTTTGTTGCTACTTCATAGTTGTAAATTTTCTACTGCTATGAATCATAATTTCAATATCTGATATGCAGGATATCTAATATGCAACCCCTGTGAAACGGTCATTTGACCCCAAAGGGGTTGCGACCCACAGGTCGAGAGCCACTGCTCGAGCAGAGTTCTTCTATGAATTATAAGCTCTTGTGGAAGAAACTCAAATACAGTAATACCAAGTTCTGTGGTCCAGGAAGGTCCAGTTTTCTGTCATTGAGGTGCTGGGACATGCCCTTGCATTAAAAGTTATTAAGACCATCTTCACTGTGCTGTACAGGATGGTCCCCAACTCCTGAACTACGGCAGTCCTCCCACCTAGCTCTCCAGAGAAGCTGTGTCTGGAGGTATAGGCAGGTAGACCCTTGTCATTCCCAGCTTACCTGACTGTCTAGTGCACAGCAGTGTGTGTTCTCAGCAGGATGTTTTGGGCGTTAACACAGATACCCTTCTGGTTTAGGTTTAAATGAACAACATACATAGTTTTCACATTCCTTAAGCAGAAGCCCTTGAAGCTGTGGTTCTCAGCTGGTGGGTCACAACCCCTTCGGGGTCTTGAATGTCCCTTTCACGGGGTCACATATCAAATATCCTGCATGCCAGATATTTACATTATAATTCATAAAAGTAGCAAAATTATAGTTATGTAGTGGTAGCAAAAATAATTTTATGGCTGGGGTCACCACAACATGAGGAACTGTATCAAAGGGTTGCAGCACTGGGAAGATTGAGAACTGCTTTAGAATAAAACACACTTCACCTCTGCCAGCAGGCTATTGGCCAGTCACATGGTACAGCCCAGTGAAGAGAAGGCACTGTGTGGGAGCTACTGAGTGTCACATACCCTTGTCTCCAGTGGGCCTGTCAGAACACAAGGCATCCTACCAGTGGCTGGATGTGGTGACCTAATAAGACACGGTCCCACTCCAGTGAGCTCCAAAGTCAGATTCACTCGTAACTCTGGAAGTTTCTAGAAGACCTGAAGAAGAATCAACAACTGGTTGTGAGAAATCTATTCAGCGCCAATCACTGACATGCAGGGAGGGGCTGTCTCGTCCGACTTCCTACCTCCACTGTGCCCCATCCCGTACACTGACTCTGTCTCTTCCCTTCAGGCGTCGGTGACGGAGGTAACGAGCTTGGGATGGGCAGAGTGAAGGAGGCCGTGAAGAAGCACATTAGAAATGGAGACGTCATTGCCTGTGATGTGGCGGCCGACTTTGCTATCATTGCTGGTGAGTATCCATGTGTGCCTGGTGGCCCGGGTGAGTGGCCTGGTGGCCCAGGTGAGCGGCCCCGCTTCAAGCCTGGCCAGGTGTGTTGGACAGTTTTTAGTCACACTTCAAAGACCGGAAAGAAACAGCCTCAAAGGAAGGAGGATGGTTTGTGTCCAGAGCACAGCTGCTGGCTTTATTGTTCCCGGGCCTGTAGCAAGGCAGAACGTCATGGAGGAAGCACGGCCTATTCCATGGTGACCAGGAAACAGAGCAAGAGCCCTTGTGTTTCCCTGGCAGGCTACTTCTGCTTGTGTTCTGTCTGGGTTCACACCCTACTGAACGGTTCTGCTCATACTTGGGTTGGGTCTTCCTTATTCAGTTGCTGTCTGACATGCGCAGACACCTGGACGTGAGCTTTTCTTCTCTGCACCAGGGTAGAGAAGAAGCCTGAGTGGGAACTCAGCCATGCAAAAGACATTTACAGTGTGTCGAGCATTGTTCTGGGTTCTGGGACAACAAGAGATCGATGTGTGCCAAGGAATTTTCTTTGCAGAGTTGAGACAATGGCCGTGATGAATATACATACCAGATGATACGGTGATAAGAGGTGTGAGGACAGCAGAGCCAGGGACAGATGAGAGACAGGAGAGCCACTTGGATCAGTGGTCAGCGAGAACCTATGCCATGGTGGGCTGGAGAAAGTTTTTCCATGACTGCTTTTACCAACTTCTGCCTCAGGCTTCCTTGTTGGGTGCCCTTCCTCCCAGGGCCAGCCTTTCTTGTGTGTCCAGGTGTTTCAAAGCCTGGCTTTCTATTAGCCTCACTAGAAGTTTCTGGAAATATTGACATCTGAAAAAGGCTATCTCCTGTTCATGGGCAGAGTCAGCCTGGAGAGGAACAAAACACACTCTGGGATAGGAAACCTATTGTTGAGTTACTGGAAGTTCACTACACAAACCTGGATTGAACTTCAGGAAGCCAGGTATATCCCTTTAATCGCTTGGGAAGGGGCAGAGGTATGCAGGTCTCTATGAACTTGAAGCCAGTCTATACAGTGAGTACCAAGATTCCAAGCTAGCCAAGGCTACATAGCAAAACCTTGTCTTAAAAGAACAAAATCCAAAACAAAAACCAACTCCAGGGGAGCCGATCATGAAGTGATCACTTGATATGGGGAGGGACTTATTTCTGTGTTACAGTTAATATTTAATAAATGGGGCTCCTTGAGCTGACCATCTAAGCAGTGATGGTGGCTCTGCCTAGCTCAAGCTGCCATGCTCCGTGGCTTGAAGCCAAGTGCTCTACCCATGAGACACCAGCATAGGAGATGGCTCCGCCCACACTGTCTCCACAAGGATGGGCTGAGCCCAGACCATCCCGCCATCCATGCAGTACCTGGTAGAAATGAGACTCTAATGTTTAAAGATTATCCAATAGCTTTATATATCTGATAATGCTCAAATAACAAGAAGCCCACACAATTAGAGGTATTACCCCATATCTAACCTAGATATTACAACTACCTTAGACTACTGGAGACACATGTACATCTACCGCCATTTTCCCCTCTCTCTCCTCTTCCGTTCTCCTAGCTCCTCCTCTTCTCTTCCTTACTCCTCCCACATTAGCTCCTTCCAAAATACCGAGTTTAATACAGCGGCGCAGCGGGAAATACACTGCTACATTTCTGGTCACTTAACTAGGGATTTATAGTGAATTCGGAGGAAAATAGCTTCCTGCTTGTGGTGGAACTAGAAAAAAGGAAGTGTTCAGAAATATACCATCTCACTCCGTTCTAAATAAGATCCGGCCTCAAAAGAAACCACAGTCTGCTGTGCTGTGAGCAAAGCAATACTTGCCTGGGAGAAGGGAAATAACCAGGGCCAGCCCACTGCCACCTTCCAGTGAGAGAAAAGAGATAACCAGCTCTATTTCTATGGAAAGAAATTAAGAAAGGAAAAAATGAAACTAAGCGTAACACTAATCAAAAGAGAGCAGAAACCACTATATTAATTTCAGTCAGAGCAAACTCCAGAACAAAGAAAGTTATCAGGAATTTTTTAAAAAGCACATTCATATTATAAAATGGGCAGAGTACAAGGGAGATATAACAATCCTTTGTGTATATGTATCTACTACCAGAGTGGTGATATATGCATACACACACACACACACATATATATATGCACAAAATATACAGGAGGAGAAAGAAAAGATCAGCAGAGTGAAACAGATTTAACTATTATAGTTGGATATTTTAACATCCCTGACTCAGGAGTGCCAGATATAGCAGGCATAAAATCTGTAAGGACACAGTTAAACCCAATAATGCTATCAACCACCAGATTGAATTGACACTTGCATTAGTTACTTTTCTATCGCTGTGATAAGACAACATGACCAAAGGAGGGTAGAGAACAGACTGTTTGTTTTGGCTTATAGTTCCAGAGGGTTAGAGGTCATGTGACAGGGAGGAGGCCAGCAAGCAGCATGGCAGTAGGAACAGAAAACAGAGAGCTCACATCTTGAACTGCACCAAGTAGAGAGAGGAAACCCGAAGTAGGCCAGGCTTTTTACTCTCAAAGCTCAGCCCCAGTGATGTACTTCCTCCAACAAGACCACACCCTCTGTGCTACCCCCAAACATCACCATCAACTGAGGACCAAGTATTCACATGCCCGTGACGCTGGGGCACATCTCGATCAAACCACCACTGAATGCACGTATTAGAAAATTACACAGCCGGGCAGTGGTGGCGCACGCCTTTAATCCCAGCACTTGGGAGGCAGAAGCAGGCAGATTTCTGAGTTTGAGGCCATCCTGATCTACAGAGTGAGTTCCAGGACAGCCAAGGCTACACAGAGAAACCCTGTCTCGAAAAACCAATAAATAAATAAATAAATAAATAAATAAATATAAAAATATAAATAAAAATAAAAAATAGATAAAATCAACAAAACCAAAGGCAAGCCTTTGAAAAGATCAGTAAAGTTGGTAATCTATCCAGGCTGACACAAACAAGCAAGAAAGTATGAATTACCATCCGAAATGAAAGAAGGGATGTCTCTGTAGGTTTTATGGGTACACAAAGGATACAGAAGGACTATTATAAACAAATTTGATAATATAGATAAAATGGATCCACTTCTTTTTTTTTTTGGTTTTTCGAGACAGGGTTTCTCTGTGTAGCCCAGGCTGTCCTGGAACTCACTCTATAGACCAGGCTGGCCTCGAACTCAGAAATCCACCTGCCTCTGCCTCCCAAGTGCTGTGATTAAAGGCATGCGCCACCACTGCCCGGTGATCCACTTCTTGAAAGACATACACATACAAAAAGACATAGAAACAGTCCTTAAGGAAATTGAACCGACAAATTAATACCCTTCAAAACCAGAGAGCACAAGGCCTGGATGGGTCTACTGATGAACTCTAAAACACTTATAGAAGAAATTATAACAGTTTTCTACAGTGTCTTCCAGAAGATTGAGGCAAAGGGAATACTTTCTAATTCACTGTATGAGTCCAATCACCTTAAAACCGATACAACACCACTATAAGAGAAACATAGTTCACTATCTTTCATGAACACGAATACAAAAATAACAGGGCTGCTGAGATGATTCATCGAGTTCTAGGATTTGCCATCAAGTGTGATGGCCTGAATTTGAGTCTGAGACCCATATGTGCACGTGCACACTAGTGCACAAATACATTCTTACATACACATATGAATACTTGCAACAGACCCCAACAATATATAAAAGAAACATATCACTAACAAACTAAGATTTATTTCAGATACGAAGGATAACCCAATAATCAAAAGTCAGTTTATATGATCTTACATATTAACGAACTAAAGAAGAAAGGTTACATGGTAAGGCAAGAGATATAGAAAACATAGTTTTAAAAGTCCAGCCTGGAGTGGTGTGGTAAGGAGGTCTTTTCTCACCAGTTTTTTTTTTTTTTTTTTTTTAGCATCATACCAGAAATCCCAGTTAGTGCAAAGAAGTAAAAACTAAATATTCCATGTTCATGGAAAGGCGTTCTCAACAGTGTTGGGATGTTAGTTCTCCCAAGTTGACCTTTAAATTCAACACAAAATAAAAGAACATCCCTGGACGTTATCTCATAGACACTGCATTAGTTGTTTTTTCATCGTTGGGACAACATCCCTGAGAAAGGGGATTTAAGGGAGGGATTTAAGTGCTATTTTGGCTCACATCGTGAGGGGCACAGGTCACCCTGAGGTAGTTGGAGCTCGAGGCCGTGGATCACATTGCGCCTGTGGTCAGGAGGAAGGAGAGATGACTGGTAATGCCATCTCACGCTCTCCTGTTCTCGTCTCTCCTTCCCTCCTTCCTTTCACCCATTCGTGTGTGTGATGTATGTCCTCTGACCTCCACCCCCACACCACGCCGTGCAACACGCATGTACCTACACACATGCACACACGCACAATTAAAAATATATAATTACCATACAGGGCTGAAAAGATGTCTAAAACTGCGTGCTGCTCTTGCAGAGGATCCAGATTCAGTTCCCAGCCCCCACGTGGTGGCTCACAACTGTCTGTAACTACAGTCTCAGGGGATCCAACATCCTGTGATGACCTCTGAGGGCTCCTGCACGAACATGGCATGCGTACATACATACATACATACATACGTACATACATACGTACGTACATACAACAATCACATTTTGACATTTATTCAAATGAATTAAAGGCATATGTCTACATAGAAACCTGCACTGCACACAGACAGATGTTCATTCTATTCATAACTGATAAAACTAAGAAGTGACAAAACATCCTTCAGTGAGTGGCAGTATGAACTAAGTCCATACAGGTGATGTGATATATTCAGAGAGAGAGAGAGAGAGACAGACAGACAGACAGACAGACAGACAGACAAAGGAGATGAGGAACTCTAATAGCGTACTAGTAAGTGTGCAAGCCAGTGTGAAAAGGCTGTGTGGTCTGAACCCGGCTATATGATGTTCTGGAAAAGGCAAAATTATGGAGACTGTGAAAGGACCAGCAGCTGCTAGGGACTAGGTCAAAGTTGACAGTGAGCTCAACTCACACGGGGTCTCCAGCACATGAGCTTAAGTAAGCTGCCCTTCATGGTCCCCTCTCATCTTTCCCATCCCCTACCATGCACCCCATGGTCCAGGTCTGATGGCCACAGTCATTGCTTAAATATAGCATGGGTTTCGCATCGCGTTAATTGAAAAGATGATGTCATAGTAAGGCCAAAGGCATTCTTAAAACGCTGGTAGTACAGGGTAACGACACCGGCAGATATGCTGTGTCATCCCACTGTAACACAGTCAGCAGTTGTAGCTTGCCTGTGCTTCCTCTGCAGTACATAGTCATTCTCTTTCGTTTTAAACTGGTGACCAAGGAGTTTAAATTCTGCCTTTTCCTTTGTTATGGCTTCCCGAGCATGTTTTTTATTTTCTACAGTTTCAGAGGCTGAGGATGAACTCTGGAATTGTACGGTGAGAACCAACTTAACACTGCTCAACTGTACCCTCACAGATGGCGACGTCTCTCACAGATGGCGACGTTTCGGATAAATGGATCAACAGATACTTAATGCTATAGAACTGTACCCTTAAAGGTGATGATGTTGAGACAGGGTCTTACTGTGTGTCTGAAACACCATAGACAAGGTTGTCCTCAAACTCATAGAGGTCTGTCTGTCTCCACCTCCCAAGTGCTGGAATTAAAGGCATGTGCCTCTATACCTGGCCCAATTCTGATAGTTTAAATAGGTGGATTGTGGTTCTGGATCTGCCTCTCCTGGTTGGGTGTCTGGGTGTCACTGGTATACCAGCTAGGAGAGGGCAGGACAAAGTCCGGAATGGGTGGGGTGTGTAGTCTGCTTCTTCCCTCTGGGTCATTAGATGTTGGGTGTATGCCAGACTGAGGAGAGTGAAACAGGTCCTGGAAATAAGATCCACAGGGCTCTAGTCCAGCCAGGAATGCTGGAAGTGTCACAGTTTTTACAAAGGGAATAAAGAGGTTCGGGTGGCCAGCACAAGGCAGGTGGCCTAGGTCCCGGGGTCCCTCAGCAGCGGCAGCTATGTCAGGAGTTCATGTTCTGATGTGAACCGCTGAGAATGGGAGTCTGGCCAGGCAAGTGGGTCCAAGGTCCAACGATGAGTGCTTCGGGGGTGGGGGGGGGGGGGGCTTTCCCTGAAGTGTTTCAGCTCAGTAAAAGCAGCCAGTCTCAGACAATCCTGGATGTGTTCCTGGATGTGTGCTTTATTCCATGTGGACAGGCACTGTATGAACCTTGGGGAATGGGATGGGATTTGGGGTAAATATGTTCTGTTGGCTAAGGCTTAGATGTTGGTGATCTGTTTGTCTGGGGAAGGATTCCAGATGCTGGGCCCCGTGACTGACTACCTGTGATCACCTAGGTGGAGGTTGTGGTTACACGCCCCAAAGAAGGCATAGAGACGGGGGTCGGGGGAGCTAGCTCTACTCCTGCCATCTTAAATCTCTGGGATGTCTAGCGTTTGAGCATGTTCCACCTCACCAGTTCCATGCCCATTCCTCTGGTGGCACAGTCCATGTGCCTTACAGTGGATAGATGTTTAACACTACTGAAGTTAAGATAGTGGCTTTCACGTGATATTTGAGGTAGACAAAATACATGATAGAGAGGAAGGTTTTAACACTACTTACTATACTCTTAAAGATGGCTAAGGTGGTGAGTTCTAATGTGATATTTTTAGATAGATAGGAGATGGTGATAGACAGATAGACAGACAGACAGACAGACAGACAGACAGATAGATAGATGATAGGTAGGTAGATAGATGATACATATATGGATGCATGCATGTATACATACATATATATACACATACACGATAGGTAGATAGATAAATAGATAGATAGATGGATGGATGGATGGATGGATGGATAGATAGATAGATAGATAGATGATAGGTAGGTAGATGATACATATATGCATGCATGCATGTATACATACATATATACACAT